CGGTTGTCCCTCGCCCCGGTCCGGCGGCGGCGCCGCCTAGCGGGGCCAAAATCACAGGAGGTGCGGTTGGGGAATGGGGTCTTGGCAGCAGGGGGGCTCCAGGGGAGCTGCTTTTCCTTCCTCCCGCCCCACCTCCCCTTTGCCCCTTGGTTGATGTTATTTCCTAAAGCGCGATCGAAATTAGCTAGCCCCTGAGGTGAAGGAAAGCTCCGGTCCTGGCAGCCACGCTGTTATGTTGCGCTCTGAGAGAAAGGCTCAGCGAGAAGAAAGCCTTCTCCTGGTTTTACAAGGTTATGGAGTTCAAATGGCTTCGTGTTGCGCTGAGGCTGGGTTGAGCCATGCGTTGCACTGTTCACAATGCACAACTAACTGCCTACTCCTTCCAGCTGGTGTGCAAAAGTTCACTGTACGTGTGATCGAGAGCGCGTGTGTGTGTCCAGCTGAGCTTTGGACTGGCGACTTTGAGGAAACTTTGGTTTTGCTCAAAGTTTTGGAAGGGTAGAATAGAGGTGCAAGAAGAGAGTGGTTTATACCTTTCGCTTACAAACTCTGGCCCACGTCGGACCAGCAGTCTGTGTGAGATGAGCCTTCTCAACAGGTTCACTCTCTCAACAGATGGCTCCGTGTAATCTTGTCTACAGTTTCCTGGTGTTTGCTTCATTCATTTCTCCTGAAAGGAGGTTCTCTGTTTTCCTGCAAGCATGAAAAGAAAATCCAGATTCTTCCTGGCATGAAGTTTCATACGTGTCAATAACAGGTTTGCAAAGTTGAGAAGAAAATATTACAGAGATCCCATGTGATACGCTCCGTTAGGCAGACAGCAGCAACAGCTTTGCGAGGTGTGCATTTCCCACGCTGGATAACATCAAAACTTTTTTTCTGTGGTCAGAGTCACTTCTGTCATAGCCCTCAGGGCAGTAACTTTCGCCTGTTAGTTTTTAATAGCTATGCTTTACCTTGTGCTAAATAGAGAAAATAATTATAAATCTTAAGATAAGGATTGTGTGTGTATGATTTAACTATGTTTGAGATAAGGTAACTTTAACCAGTCTTATTTTAAAGTTTGCCTAAGCATAGACTGGTACGGAAATAGGTTGTCAATGTATTTATCTCCTTGCAAATGTTCGTATACATCAAAGCAAGTATTTTTAGCTTTTTTTATTACCCACAAAATAAGTCTTGGTGTCTCATTCCTTTCTGAATTTCTGCATAAGAAACATACAGTGCATAATTTTATCTTTGGTGCCTCTTATGGTATCCAAACAACAACTTAAAACTTTGTGCTTGAGGCAGAGTTTGGCACTAAATTTCTAGGAGTCTAAGTAATAAAAACTTAAAAATCTGAACACGTGTCACAATAGTGTGGGAAGCGTTGCTTGCTAGGACTGCCCAATAACTAGCTGAATTCAGCTGGAATAGGGCCAACTAGGCCTGCTTGGTCATAGTGACAAGGCAGAGTTCAGAATATTTGGGATTATGTAGATCCAGCAACTGGATTATCCTAAAACAAATGATTGTTTGTTCCTTTCTTCCTTCAAGTTTAAATGTCTTCTGTGCGATTCTGCTCAACTCTGTCACGCCTTCAGATTGTTTTAGAAATCTCTGCAAGAGCAAAGTGATAAAGAAAATACCATTCTTGCCTCTTCGATGTACTTTTTTTTCCCCCCTTGAAGGACAACAAAAACTGTTGATATTTCTCTGTACATTAACTTTCGAACAGTCGATAGCTATTTTTCCAATTTTTGTCAATGGTGTGCAGAAATACACATCATCAGGGAAAATCATAGAAATTGCAAGGGAAGTGACTTATTGTATGATTTAGTGCTAAAAATTTGTCATCTCTGGGCAGTGCAAGATGACTACTTACGGTATTCTTTCTATAGATGCCAAGTTTGACTGAAACAATGCTTTCGCTTTGAGTGATAATTCTCTAATATTGCCTTCTTGAAATGCAGGTCTTGTAGAGATAAATATGAAAAGTGATTGTACTAAAACAAATTCCTAGCATTTTAGAAAACAAACTCAGTTCTCAGTGTCAAAGGGGGATGAATTCCACATCACAGGACTGACCACTGCGAGGGTATCACCACATGCTGTCTTCAGTTATGCTAATAGGATCCAGAGGTATTATGTATTATGTCAGTACAATGTTCAAGGATCAGCCTTACCCACTAAAGATTATCTTAACTTTATATGTCAGTTATCACCATTGCAGCTGAATGATGAATCTGAAAGTTATAGAGCCACACAGCATTGTTCACAGCAGGCTTTAGAATGACTTAGTCGTGCCTTTAGTGTTCATTTTCGCTTTTCTTGGCAAGTTTGTTCTTTTGTGCTCAGGCTACTTCTGTTCTTGTTGCTCTTCTGTGAGATTCCTGTAACTTTTCTGTGAATATTTCTATCACTGAGGTGTATGTGACTGAATGTTGTAGTTCAGTTGACCGGTGGTATCAGTTGTGGCATGTTTAATTTTTATGTGCTCTATGCGTTCCTTTTCTGCATGTACTCTCTCCTCTCTTTCCTCCCGTTCTCAGTCTGAGATTTTAACTAATTAGCCTATCCAATTACATGATCTAATGAAATAATAAATGTTAACAGGAAAGCGATGAGATTTCAATTCTCTGGGCATCTCACCTGATTCTGTGGACGGCAGAGAGGATAGCAGAATAGTTCAACTTGCAATACTGATTTTAAATAAGACTTCTCTGCCTTTGGATATCTGTAACAAAGATTAAAATCCCATTATATCATAGGCTTAAAGCAAAATGTCCTGCAGCTTCCCAGATTCTCCTCTTCTGTAACTGAGGCTATTGTGCATGTGATTCACTGGATGGGTAGGACTTTGTACTACCACAGCAGTTTTGGCTCAGTGCAGTATCAATTAGCAGTCATTTCAACATGAGTATGTGTTAGTTGGAATTCTTCAACTAGCAGGGCTAAAAAGAGCCCAATAAGAGTTAGAGCAAAAGATAACTACCGAAAGGAGGAGATACCTTCTGCTTTGTTCCTTGCTTCCAACCCCAGCACGTTATTCCACTTCCCCTCTGCGCTTCCTGAAGAGTTTCGAGTGGCTCGAGTGCAAGATGGGATCGGCTTTGCTCCAGAGCAATTGCTAGTGATTTCTTGAAAATCGAGTGTGCCACCCTCCCCCAATCCAGCCTGCTTCTTGATCTCCCTAGCCACCTCCAGGAGAAAGGAACTGAAGCGGGTTAGTCTTTTGTTTCAGTTGAACACCTTGAGTAGCACCTGGAAGAAACTGCTTGACTGATTAGGATAATTTTCCATCCCAAAAGGGCAGGAGTTTTAATGGCTTGGCCTAAGGAAATCTCAGCAATGTACAAAGCAATGCGCTGCTAGAAATACCTAGGGTGGCTGGCAAAATCGTATCGTTGCCAGTTCCACAGGACTCTTCTGAGGTCTTCTACGCTATCTCCGTTGCAGAGTATACATGTGCTATTAAAAATACTAAGCTTCCATGCATGTTATTTCCTTACTTTACAGCTCAGGAACAGGTTTTGTTCTTGCACTGAGGGATGGTGGCCATCAGTTCTGAATGGGATAAACTAAGTGCCCTCTCGTTATATAATTCTTTATGTCTCAGAACTCTGCTGTCCATCAGTCTGATAATTTGATTTAATATACAAACTCTGCTTTCGTTTGATGTTTAAAATGCACAGGAAAACACTGCATTGCGTGGCCCTTAATTAACAAATTAACTGTGCCAGAAAAATAGATTGGTAAGCATCTACTCTTCCTTCTGCTTGGCCTTCCAGATAAATCCAAGCATGGAAGTAATCTGGTTTGATTATATTCTAACATTGTACAGGCTGCTTTCTTCTTTCAAAACAACCTTGCCT